AGCAGGCAGCCGGACGCATCAGCAGATTTTTATGGGAGAAGTACAGTCGATCACCTGGTGGTCTCTAATGGCATCAATTGTCTTCCATACCACCGCGAACATCCAGACGGTGCAGCTCTTAGAAGCCGGTCCACAAATTTGTTGCAGCCGGCACCTCAGCAAGCAGACTCTCCAGGCAGGATTGAATCACGTGGCCCCCAACTCACCTCAGGCAGGTGAGAAGCACCAGCAGTCCGCTCGAGATCAGGGTCTCCACCCGAGCTTCTCCAGGAAGAGGCACGGACTTTGCCGCGCGCTGCACCATCACCCGGTCTCTTGGGCCAGAGGTCACCAGCAGTAGCGGCCAGCCACAGGTTTACACCAGAGGCCTAGGTGGGGGATGAGAGGTGAGATCCACTGCATGGAAGAGGAGCTCCGGAGATGTCAGTGCCGTGATCAAAGGCAGGGCAATTTGAACGCCTACACAACAGGCGCGCACAGGAGGTAAACAAGCTTGAGTCGCGGTGAGCAAAAAGATAACATCGAGAAAAAACTAGGACAGAACAAACTATAAAAGAAGAAGTAAAAAATATAGTAAAAAAATATAGTAAAAATAAAGTAAAACAGAGAAAAAGAAACAAAGAAAATACTAAAACTCAGCAGCTAAGAAAAATACGTGTGGACGTGTGCGCGGCCATCTTGAACAGCAGTGGACAGTAAAACGAACAGTGGTGTGGTGTTTAAACTCCTGTAACTCCAATCCCAAAGATTTTCCGCTGTTTTAAAATTTTAACACTTGTATCGGTTTCACTTTACACAGTTTTTAAACAATGTGGTAGTTATCTGCAAGACCTAAAACAGCATAAACGAGTTCGTTGCTGCAGGAATTACCATATTTCACCTGACATTTTTTCCTCACTCACCCTCGAGCAAGACAGATGCTTTTTCTTCCCTCTCCTGCCTTCCTGCTGCTTTTTGCTCTATGTCCTGTGTATCGAAGCTTCTATTTACACATCTTCCGAATAGTAAATTACTGTTATGGATTTGATAAGCTGGACTTTCAATGCAATTGATACAATTTTTTCAACCAAGCAAAAGAGGGCTGAAGGACCCTCATGCCTAGCTAAGACACACGCAGCTGGGTATATTATGGATCCGTGGGGAGAGTGGAAGATGCTGTGCCTTTCTGTGTTGTCTCTGGAGGATGTCGAAGATTAATGCATCATTGGATTTATGATAGCAGGGTCTTTGATTTATGATAGCAGGGTCTTTGATTTACGATAGCGGGGTCTCTGATTTATGATAGCAGGGTCTCTGGTTTATGATAGCAGGGTCTCTGATTTATGAAAGCAGGGTCTCTGATTTATGAAACCAAGGTCTCTGATTTATGGTAGCAGGGTCTCTGATTTATGATAGCAGGGTCTTTGATTTATGATAGCAGGGTCTTTAATTTATGATAGCAGGGTCTCTGATTTATGATAGCAGGGTCTCTGATTTATGGTAGCAGGGTCTCTGATTTGTGATAGCAGGGTATTCGATTTATGATAGCAGGTTCTTTAATTTATGATAGCAGGGTCTCTGTTTTATGATAGCAGGGTCTTTAATTTATGATATCAGAGTCTCAGATTTATGATAACAGTGTCTCTGATTTATGATAGCAGTGTCTCTGATTTATGATAGCAGTGTCTCTGATTTATGATAGCAGGGTCTCTGATTTATGATAGCAGGGTCTCTGATTTATGATAGCAGGGTCTCTGATTTATGAAAGTAAGGTCTCTGATTTATGATAGCAGGGTGTCTGATTTATGATAGCAGGGTCTCTGATTTATAGTAGCAGGGTCTCTGATTTATGATAGCAGGGTCTTTTATTTATGATAGCAGGTTCTTTAATTTATGATAGCAGGGTCTCTGTTTTATGATAGCAGGGTCTTTAA